CAGCCATTCTGTGGAGGCTGGCTGGATAGGCGACCAAACGTGGAGCATGATAATGAAAATACAGGTCAACTTGGAGGAGAAGTGGTGTGGACACAGAGGTCAATAATTCAGGAAAAAAAAAGTATACTGGTTAACTTTGCTGCTAATGATGACATAGATCTTAGAACCTATGATCAGCATTATTCACGTAGACTTCTTATAAATGTAGGCAAATTGTATGAGACTCTCAGAGATTCTCAGTTAAAAGTATCACGTAACTGGGGCAAGACAATACTTACTTAAAGGGAGTCCTTACTCAGTAATCTTCCTTAAATTGGCTGATGAATATTTTAGGAGAGATTATCAAGCAATGAATCCGGAAGGTAGCCCTGTACGAGGTGGGAAGCACCACACTGAGGAGCAGGAATAGAAATGCAGAAATCAGCAACATGAGTTCATTTTCCAGTTATGTCTACAGATAGCCAGAAATGCCCCGGGCCCCATTTTAAGGCTTTGGATTTTACACAAAAGTATTTAGAAGTACTTAGAAAAAAACTTAAGAGTGAAAGTAAAAATAATCAGGAAACATCAAGAAATAAGATCTATGAGTACAGGTTAAAATAACTGATTGTTCGGCTAAGCAAGAGAGGCCTGGGTTATTTAACAGTATTTTTTTAAAGAATTGTTTCATTATTATTGATGATAAGCAACTAATCTTCATTTACACAGCAAGGGTCAAAACGAAAAGAAATTGGCCCAAACTGCAGTGTGTGGGATTTAGATTAAATGTAGGGATGAACTGGCTGAGAAGGGTGAATTACTATGGAAGGATATGGAATTTCCTATGTGGGAGGTCTTTAAAAATAGTCTCTCAATTGTAAAGGCTAATTTCAAAATTAAATCCTGACTGAATAGTAGGGCTAGAGATTGGTGATTTGAAAGGTGTAGGAGAGTAACATAAACACTAAAGAGACCTTATAATCTTAAAATATAATGATTATCTTGAAAATAATACTAGTTATGAAGTAGAATTAGAAAATCAGAGAGAGCTAATGTGTGTTGTGATTTATTCTTATTTTATCTTTCTTCCTCCATTCATCTGGGCAGCAGTTTGGGCATTTGCCAAGCAAGTTATAATTATCTATTGTTGAGATTTAAATCTCTTGATTATGTAACAAGTACCAAGAAAGACTGGATAGGGACATTGGGAAATTTCTGCTTTGAAGAACAGTAATAAAAACAGATTTCACTGCTCCTACAGTTTATCAATTTATCAGTTTTTATTCATTGAGTAACTTCTAATTGCCCACTAACCAAACTAGATGCTGTGGAAACATAGAAGGGAAACAGGACATGACTTCCAGCCTTTAAGAGTGTATGGCCTATATGGAATAATTTGATAAACACATGAAATTTAGTATAAAATATGATGCACAATTATAGAATTATGTGATATGTGATATGGGCTATCTGCTGGAAGAGTTGGATAGTGGGTGTTTGGACAGGAGGTATCATAGAGGAGGCAGGTTTTAAAGGATGAGAAAGAATTAAAGAGGAGGAGGAGTATGAGGAACATAATTTTGCGAGGTTAATATGAGCAAAGGGATAGAAGTGAGAATATATGTGCTTGAGTCATACTTTTGATACACTGGGGGGCATTGTGAATTTAACCTTTAGGATCAACTCACAGTTGTTAATATGTCATGGAAAGTCTTAATGATTTGCTAATATCTATGCACTTATCTCATCCTATCTCTTTGTGCAACCACACTCCCTTTTGTTTGTCACAACCTTGTGTGTGTCTGTTTGAGTTCAAATTCCAGTTCTACCACTCCATAACTCTGTGACTTTGAGTCTTGGTTACTTCATATATAAAATGGGGATAATAATAGGATCTGCCTCAAAGTGTTGTCATGAAGATTAAATATGTTGATAGATATAAAGCGCTTGGACTAGTTCCCAGCGCATTGTAAAGATCAATAAGATATCATCTGGGGCTGGGCAGAGTGGCTCATGCCTGTAATCCTAGTGCTTTGGGAAACACAGGTAGGAGGCTCACTTGATGCCAGGAGTTTGAGACCAGCCTGGATAACACAGTGAGTCCCCATCTCTATAAAATATTTTAAAAGGTAGCCGGGTGTGGTAGTGAACACCTATGGTCCCAGCTATTTGGGAGGCTGAGGTAGGAGGATTGCTTGAGCCCCGGAGGCTGAGGCTGCAAAGAGCTGTGTTCACACCACTGTATTCCAGCCTGGACAACAGAGTAAGACTCTGCCTCTAAAATAAAAGTTGAAAAGTAAGATATCGTTTGTTACTAATATTGTTATTCACCCTTAAGCTACAAGTCTGACAGTGGGCATTACCTCCTGGAAGCCTGTCCTTTACTGAGCAGTCTCCATAAGCATCGTCTGTGTTCTTGCCTGTCCCATCCCTAGACCTTTTCCACAGCCCATCCTGCTGTGCATGGTGAGCCTAGGTTTTCACGTCTGTCTCTTTTCCTGGGCTGTGGGTCTGGAGGCAGACAGGTCTTATTCACTTTTTTTTTTCAGAGTCACTCTCTTGCCCACACTGGAAGGCAGTGGTGTGATCTTGGCTCACTGCAACCTCCACATCCCAGGGTCAAGTGATGCTCATCATTCAGGCTCCCGAGTAGTTGGGATTACAGGTGCGCAACCCCACACCTGGCTAATTTTTGTACTTTTAGTAGAGGCGGGGTTTCACAATGTTGACCAGGCTAGTCTTGAACTCCTAACCTCAAGTGATCTGCCCACCTCGGGCACCCAAAGTGCTGGGATTACAGGTGTGAACCACCATGCCCAGGGTTTATTCACTTTTGTATCTCAGTGTCCATGAGCCATCTATCAATGGTTGTTGAATATGTAGGTAAATGAATGAATAGATAGTTGAAAGAAGGATATAAACCTATGAATTTCTACATTATACTCTTTACCCACTTCCCTACAATTACTAATTACTACTACTCATAATTAGTAGTTATTAATACTAAAAAGCTTTATTATGATCAAAACATCCGTGGAATATGTAATAAAGATGTATGGTTAGAAATTTCATAATTTGTTATAACTAGTGTCCCTGAAGTAAGCTTTACAAAATGGGTTTGCATTCATCTTTCAAAATTTGAGGGCTACCATTAGCCATATAATCTTAACAACCATACTGTAATTTATAGATTAATTCACAATAATCAACACATGAGCTATATCACATAGTCTAATTAGTTTTAATGTTTACTATTTTTTAACTTAACTTTTTCTTCTTAGATTCATTGGCAGTAAAGGTAGAGGGATAAAGGGGTAAGAATCTGGAGATATGGTAATTTATTTCATATTGCCAGATGCCCTCCTTTGAGGGTTTGGACTAAATGGCCTCTAAAATCCCATTCCCTGTTACTAAAGATTCTCTGAGCTCAGTGGATCTGTGATGTAGTTGGGATTATAATCTAATTTTCCTAAAGCTAGACTAGTGGTCTTTTCATTAAAACCATATAGTTTTATTATTCATGTGACTAGTCACTATTTTTAATTGTTTATTGATTAAACTATTTTTTTTCTGAGCAGAATCTCTAACATGGAATGATGGCAATGGAGACTGTCAATATCTGAAACAAAAATAAAATGGCACTACTAAGAAATTCCACATGGAAATAACGTGTAAGACCCTATAAACTATTAGTTAAAAATACCCAGCAGTACTTGTTAGTTATCAGTGTAACAATTCAAAACACTCCAGTGTGTAAAGCAATCTCTTTGAGAGGCAAATTATTTTATTGTTACATACTTTTTATAATTAGATATCAAAGAAAAACAATAAATTTATTTCAGATAGAAAATCCAAGTATTAGAATATGTATCCATTAAAAAAATCAAATAGGTCTATTGTGTTTGCTTTCATCCAGGGCTGGTTGTTTCTGAGGGAGAGGCATTTGAAGCCCATAATTGTGTTACTGAAATAGCTGGAACACCACACACAGTATTCCAGGCATCGAACGACCAAGTGGGTTAGCAGATCAATTACTTAAAAATCAACAAGCAGAGATGAAATTAGCCATGGCACATTCTGTCTGCTACTCACTCTCATCTATTAATTGGATTGGTTAGTGACTGAACTGTTCCATCATTTAGCAATTGGAGTTAATTAACATAGCTGGCCAGGCTGTACTATGCTATGGTTAATTGAGACATACACATGACCCCAGCTGCCCTGGCTCAGAGAGTAATGGCAAAAATAAGATGATCAAGGCACTAATCTGGTAAAATGATCAAACACTGAAATATCCATCTCAGTTTTGCCATCAGTATTCTAAGAAAAATATTTCCATTCCCGTTCTTTTCTGCTATAATTTGTAAAGTTGGCATTATTTGTTCTAGAAGTCTGTAGAACACACTTCCCTCCTTTCCCTATGATAATATCTCTATCTCTGGTGGCCATAGGGAATGCTGCCAGTATTCTGGTGGTATAACACAGTGGCCAAAAACTGTAGAGTTAAACAAACCTAGGGAAAGTCTGATCATTCACTTGCTGCATTAATGTTTTTGTACTCTACAATGGAAGTTACACTATCCACCTCCTCAGGTTGCAGGGACTAGCAGGGATGATGAAGGTGAAGGCCTTAGCACATAGAGAATGAGGCAGGTAAATGATCAATTTATTTAGCTCTTTGGGTTAAGCGGTGATGAATGAAGACAACCAGAAATAGTCACTTTTCTTTCCATTATCAATTTGATAGTTTTAACTTAACTTTTACTAGAATTCATTGTTGCCTGAACTGCAAAATGATATATGTAGATGTGAGGCACTCTAGGAAATGAGGATGAATCAAATTGTTTAGAAACAATAAAATTTATTTTCCTTGTTCATTGTCTAATTATCAGGTGGTAAAAGGAAAAACAGCCAAAACAATAGCCAAGTAAATAAAACACTGGTCTTAAGAGTCTTGTTACTTGAAATGTAGTTTAAAACCGATGTACATTAAATTAAATCATGTTCTAATCTTTTGACAGACTCATTTATTGTGAAACAGAGAGTGTGAGATACACCGGATGCAGAGAAGGTCAAAACTGAATAGGAAGATTTTATCCAGCTCTGGCTTCTACAAGTGAGGGGGAGTAAAGGCAACCCATGGAAGGTAAAGTGATAAGACTGAAAGATGCCAAGAGGCTGGAGAGGGAGGCCTGGGAGGAAATGCTAATGGAATTGTGATTAGAAAGCCTGGAGAGGCGTTGGATCATGCAAATACTATAGTCATGAAAAGAGCTGAGATTCCATGTACAGCAGGAAGGCAGACTTTAGGGCCTAGAGGGCCAGGCCTGGAATGGAGCCCTGCTTCTTCAGTTAGGGTCTTTAATTCTGCTCCTCTGAAGTGACGAAGTCCTTTCTCACACAACTGTCTTTCCCTTCTTTTTCTTTTCTGTTCGCCCTTTACTCCAGTATGTCTTAGTGGAAATATCATAAGATTTGCAGCTAAAAGATCTGAATGTGAGGTTTAAGCAGGTCATTACTAGATGTATTAATTGAGCCAGTTCTCTGAGTTTCGTTTTTATAAAAAAAATGAATACATGTTTTCTAATTTGTATAAGGAGGATAATAATATCTGGCTCACAGGGTTTCTGAGAGGGTAAAATGAAATAACAGATGAAAGAATTTCTTCGTAACATGTAGAGTAAATATGGATATGAGTTTTAGTATGATCAATGAATTTCCTCAGTCTTTACCTCTTTGCTCTCTCCCTTGGAATTCCAAGTAGCGGATGCTGGAAAATATAGATAGAAAAGTCTCACCTTTCTTTCTAAGGTAACTCCTTATCTCTAAGAAAAAGGCTTAATGATTGGGGACTGGATCTTAGGCTCTGCTAGGCTTCACACCAGTCTTAAGATTTCGTGACAAATAAGCCTTCATGTATTTCCACTGTGGGCTTGTTTATTGCTTTTTTTCATAGTTCAGAACAGCCACTATCCTCTTCTAACTCTAACTGTGAGACTCTGGAAATTTTTAAAAGTATAAACTAAGGATGGGAACAATTTCAGGGGCATGATTATACTGATGAGGCTTGGGCAGTGAGCCCATTCCAGGTTTACCACCGCCAAATCTTATTCCACCTATGCAGCAGCCAATGTGGATTTAATCCTGCAGGGTTCATGCCTTGGGGAAGAGGAGATCAAAGAAAGCCCACACCCAGGTCTCCCTCCATGAGGGCCATGGCCATGGTTTCCATGGTGATCCCAAAGGAGGCCCGCCCTCTGCTTCCTTGCTGTTTCAGTTGCATCACCTGAAAGACACAGGGCCAAGTCCTAGCCACACACTCATTACTCATGCTTCTCTAAAATCACAATAAATGCAGCCTTAGCTCTAACCACGTAACACGCCCCAACATTTCCTGGCCTGCCGTGGACCACATTCCTTCACAGCGGGACTTATGATCTGCTAAAAGACCACTGCAGATTTCTGCAGTTTCCTCATGGTCAAAGCCAGAATTTCACAGGAAGATAGAGAATCACATTGATTTTGTCCTTTATCTATTTCTGTCTGAAGGGACTGTACACATTTCCTAGGGCTGTCATAACAAAGCACCACAAGCTGGATGGTTAAAGACAACATAAATTTATTGTCTCCTAGTTCTGGAAGTGGGAAGTCCAAGATCAAGGTGTTGGTGGAGTTGTTTCTTCTGAGGGCCATAGCCTGTGAGGGAGAAATCAGTCTGTTCTATGCTTTCTTTCTCAGCTTGGGGGGGATTGCTAGAGTCTCTGGCATCTGGCTCCTGTCACGTAGACTTGTTCTCTATCTCCAGCTTCACATAGCACCCTCCCTGTGCATGTGTCTGTATCCAAGTTTTTGTTTGTTTTACAGATTAGGGGCCCGCCTTATTCACTTACTATCTCCCCAACAACTCTCTTTTCAAATAAGATCACATTCTCAAGTATGGATGGTTAGAGCTTCAACATATAAACTTTAGGAACACAATTCAATCCGTAACAGCAACAAAGTTTTTAAAATACCTTGATTAAAATTTATTGAGTGTTCAATACAAGCATGGTTGTGGGCAATCTCAACATTGCTTAAAGATGTAAATGAGGAATGGTTCCTGTCTACTAAGAATTTACCTCTTAGTTAGAACTCAACCTTCTAGCTGAATTGAACACATATGCAGAATATTATCCAATAGATGGAAAGAATCTGACCAAAATTAATAGTAGATATTCAACTTAAGTCAGAGAAAAATATTTGAGATCTTACATAGGAGCCCAACATAGAAAACAGAGAAAGCATATTTGCTCTGTTTCAGATAAGGTAGAGGATTTAGAGTCCCTTCTGCCCATTTCTTTTTATAGCTGCCATGGAGGCTTCATGGGAGAAATGTAATTCAATAGGACTCCAGAGAACAGTTTGGAAAGGCAGAGATGAGGAGAGGGAGAATAAGCATACAGTATGTGAGCAAAATTTTGGAGGTAGGAATATGGAAGACGTCTTTAGAATCTCAAAATCCGAGCCTTTTGGAGAACTGTGGAAGCAAATGTAGAAAAATAGATCAGGGTCCTCGGATGGAAGACTCCCATCATGGCTTGACTGAGTTCAGATCCTTGAAATATATGTCAGGGGATCGGAAGCTTTGCTGGCCCCCAGTAATCTCCATATACTTCAAGTTGTCTTATTTTCTTGCCTATACCTGATTCTCATTTTGATGGTTCCCACTCCCTAGATTCCCTTTACTTAAAAAAGCAAACATTTAAGCAATCTGAGGATTGGTATGGGATTTTACAGATTTGTGTCTGCACTTCTGTGCTTTACCATGCAGCATAATTTGAAAAAAAAATTACTAACAAATTCATGCATATAATGTAGAATTATGGATTTGACCAGCATCAGACAAAATTATGGAAAGAACTGTCTGAGGACCTGAGGTATAATATTGTATTTTATCTTTATAGATTTCTAAGAAACAGATATTGAACCTAGATCTGCTTGACAATAAAGTCTATGCTCCCCCTCCCCAATATTATTATCCTGGAGAACAGAAAATACAGAAATCTAATAGTACCAATGCAAAGTAAAAGCCTTTGGTCATATCCTAGGTCAGAATTGAAAAAAGTAGCAAAAATAGAAAGTTTGGGATCTGGGAAAGCCTGAATTGAGGCCATTCAATATAAATTGGACTTGACTTAAAGACCATGACCCAATTACATCTTTATTTAAACATGGCCTTCCATGATCACTGTTGACCCAAGGGAAGAATTTTCCTACTCTGAAATGCAATTGAGTAAGTGGGAGTCATGTCTCCATTGTCTCCAGCAACCCCATGGTATGGAATGATCCTCATGTGCTTTCATCATGCTGGTCTGCCTGCTGCTCCCTACATTCTTGTCCCATTCATCCTACTCTCATAAGAGATACTGTGTTTCTTTTAGTTATGTGCACATTATTTTTGATGTGCATATATAGTCCATATGTCATATAGCCCAAAGTGATTTAGCAGAAGTGCAGGTCAACTGCTGCCTCTAGCATGATTCTCAATGGTGGTAGCAGAAAGTGGGTCCTGAATGATGCAATAAGCTTTGAACAATAATTGCCTTTTTCTTCTAAAGGGTGTTCAAAATGTCCCTCCATTGTCAAAATTTGCCAGACATTGACCTAACAAAGAGAATGCAGCCACTATAGAAACCGAACGTGGAAAAGTCAGGTATGAGAGAGAAAGCCACCATATCACACATGCTATTTACATTAAATAGAAGACAGGTAAGTAGCATTTCACAAAGTACACTAAAAAAGCTTGCCACAGAACTCAGCTGATCCATTTTCACTATTCATAGACCCTACATGGAGCAAACACTTAAACAAGAAACAGATGCTCAGAGAATACATTGAGTTATAAAGAAAAAACAATATAAGCATGTAATTCTAAAATAACGAAAGGAAATTGAGAAATTGCTTTAAAAGAGCAGTAACTGTTGTGCAGTTGCATTCAGACAGGCTCCAAAGCTGATAGGCAGAGCACTCTGTTGAACCTGTGAGGTCTGAACCAGGAATCTGGTCACAACAGGGAAATTGAATTGTAGATATACTTGGTTTGGGTTTACTCAAATTTATTTCTGTAATTCACTATCATTTTCATGAGTATTTATGTTATTGTTGTCTCTCCTGATATAGGAAAAGCCTGTATGCAGAAATACAGTGACCCTGCTCTGTGCTGACCCACGCAGCACTATGACACAGAGGCGCAGGTGTATCAGGATATAAATATGTTCTCTAGTGGTGAAAATGTGGAGTCTGTAGTGGAGGAGAAATAAAGTGTTAAATGTAACAAAGTTGGAGAGTGAACTGAATAAAATGTTTTCATATTTTATAGTTTATATAAGAAGTAACCTGAATGACCCTGCATTTCCACTTATGGGTATATATCAAAAATAAAATTGGAATCAGGGCCTTAAAGAAATATTTGCACACCTATGTTCATAATAGCATTATTAACAATCATAGGTGGAAGCAACCTGTGTGTTCATAGATAAATATAGGAATGTAAATAATGTATTACATATACAGTGAAATATTATTCAGCCTTAAAAAGAAAGAAAATTGGCTGGGCATGGTGGCTCACATCTGTAATCCCAGCACTTTGGGAGGCCGAGGCGGGTGGATCACTAGGTCAAGAGATCGAGACCATCCTGGCCAACATGGTAAAACCCCATCTCTATCAAAAATACAAAAATTAGCCATATGTGATGGTACATGCCTGTAGTCCCAGCTACTCAGGAGGCTGAGGCAGGAGAATCACTTGAACCCAGGAGATGGAAGTTGCAGTGAGCTGAGATCATGCCACTGCACTCCAGCCTGGTGACAGAACAAGACTTCCTCTCAAAAGAAAAAAAAAAAAAAGGAAGGAAATTCTGACACATGCTACAGCATAAATGGTCTTTAAAGACACCGTGTTAAGTGAAATAAGCTAGTCATGAAAAGACAAATGCTGTATGATTCTACTTCTATGAGGGATCTAGCAGTCACATTCAAAGAAACAGAAAGCCGGATGGAGGCTATAAGGGGCCAGGGGAAAAGAAAAAGTGGGAGTTGTTTAGTTGGTGGAGAGTTTCAGATCTGCAAGATGAAAAATTCCTGGCCATCTCTTTCACAACAGTGTGA